GGGGGGGGGGAGTAGTAAATTGTGCAAGTATATTTCATTTGAGGTATTTGACTCTGGTACTAGTCCAGTGCTGCTCATCCTTGGTGGTTTGCCCTTGGAAAAAAGCTGCAGAGTCTGGGGGATAGGTTAGATTTATAGAAGTATGATGGGAAAGCTTTCTTTTGTCAGCCAGTACTGCAGATCAAGGCTGTTGACTTTTACATATTTCGGTACAGCCATGGTCAGTGCACCTGATGATTTTTTGTGTGGAACTGGGCTGTCAGCCTCTGAATAAAAAAGGGTTGTTTAATTGTTGAAAATAAAAGCAGAAGCAAAATCCCTTGAAATGGTGGTGTAAAAATATTCTTACTTTAGCTGTGATGTTGTTCTGCCCTCTAATGGTAGCAAACTATAGTGGGGTTCCCTTTTAGGTTCTGTAGCCTTTCTGCTATATTTCAAAGTATGTTTGGTATTTTTAGATGCATATGTTTTTAACAACTCAGTCTTTGTTGTTCCCCATCTGAGATGGCTTTTTGGTCCACTTGCTGCCGATGGTGGAGAGAGAGCCACTTCCCTAATGGAACAGTCATTAACTGAGATTGCTGTGAAGAGGCTTTCCTATATTTTTCATGAAAGCAGTACACTTGTCAGCAGAAAGATTGGGTAAAATTTGGAAGAATATTAAACTTTGGATTTGGCTTGTTGAATCTGAGGTTGATGGTGATGCCATGTGCCTGCTGCTTATCAGCTTTGCCAGAGTGGACATGTTGGTAAAGAGTTTTGAGCTAACCCATCCCCTCTTGTCCAGTCTCTGCCATGTGGAATATTCTTCTGGCAATGATTTAGGTTGTGTACTGGGCAATCCTAGCTCTTTAGGACTTGATAAGTATTTTAAATCTCTAAACTTGAACTAGTAGGACACTGCATGGTTCAGAATTGTAAAATAATCTTTTCTTATAGCTAGCCTCTCAACTATGACCCTGAATAATAAAGAGCTGGAAAATTTTTCTTTGACATGTTGACTGAATGTAACAGTCACAATTTTCCCTCTTCCTCTTGGCCAGTGCTAGTAGTGATTATGTAAAGGTTGGTTCATTACCTGTGTGAAATTAGTTTAATTCCTGGTATGTAGGTGTCCACCTCAGACCATTTAGTTGGCAACAGTGGCAGATATGACAAGGACTGAAAGGACAAGAGACTGAACTTGAATATTGTTTCTTGCTGGACTCAAGATGTACTGGAGTGGTCCCTCGTTTACTTTTCCTCTGGCTAAACGTAGGCTTTAATCTCTCCAGGGCTATTAAATCAGTGATTCTTTGTCATTTAGACTCACTTTTAAAAGCTTTTCAGAGAGAGATAATAACTGCTTTACTGTGCAGTTATACCTATTATAATATTTCTTATACATGTTGAAACACTATATCTTGAGCTAAATCTCAGCAAGTATAATTCTCTAAGGTCATATTTTCCTAACGCTAGGCTCTGGCTGTGGAGCAGGGGAAGCAGCTGGGGATGATGGCATGGGAGTACCGTCAGATTAGGGGTTTTGATATTTTCACTCCAAGATGGCATTCAGCATCACTTGGTGGTGGGGGGAAGAGCAGGTCAAAACCATAACTGTTGGTTTGGGGACACTTTCTCATGTAGCTGCTGGGACCCTTGACTACGCTTCAACTCGTCTACTGCCAGAGCCTGTAGCTTCCCAAGGCACAAACCCTACCAGATACTCTTCTCTGCTATGAGAGGCAAAGATATGTTGCTAGCAGCTTCCCCTGGTTCAGTCTCTTGTTTATATAGATATGAATGTCTCTTGTCACTGTACTCCAAATGCCATTATTGACTGGCTGCTTCTTGACTGGCATAAAGGACAGATATTTCAACCTATAAACTGCACTTACCATAAAGGTTTAAAGAAAATATTGAACCCTTGTGAATCAGTTGTTTTTTGACGTTTTGAATCTTAAACTCCCCGTCTTTCCTTGATTAAACAAGCATGCATTTAATCTGTGCACTTCACTTCACTTCTTGGATGAGATGAGAGGATATGAATATGCGCACACATACACACAGCATTTCAAGTGAGTTTAACCAATTGAGTGATATCTGTTCTGGCTAATATCTGTTCAGTTTTGCAAACATCAGAACTGAGGGATCAGGGAGCTTGTGTCAAAAATGACTTAGGTAGGTTAGGAAGCCTATTTCATTTTAACTTCAGCAATGGCTCAAGCTGTAAATGGGTTGCAGTAAGTTTCTCTCCTTAGCTGCAGCATATGTGTCAAGATGGAATGCACAGAATATGCTTCAATAAAATGACATTATCTGCTCTTTTCCCCTCTGCTTTCCTTTCAGTGTGACATTAGCAATATACTACCACATAAAGAACAGGTAAGTACCCTCAAGATCTGTCTCTTGTTAAGTAAAATAACTGACCTGTAATTGAGTCAGTTATGACCAAATAATTTGAGTTACCTTTGGTTTAATAGCTAATAGTTTGGTATGGTAGCTTTATAGTTCATTGAAGCCCCCTCCCCATGCTTTCCCTCTGCTTGTTGGTGCCATTCGCTGACCTTCTAAAACAAGGCCTGTGTTCAACATAACATCAAAGGTGAAGAACAAAATGTTAACAAAAATGAAAGTGGCAAAAATGGGAAACCTTTCTGAATATGTGCTCAGACTAGTATTTAAGTTAGGTTTTGTCTTGCTCCCTCCTGAATGAATTGTGTGTAATTAGGTGAATCTAGGAGAACTTCTTCCTGTGTTTTGTATCCTATAGATACCATGTATGAATTGCCTCAAGTTGTAAGACCTAATTGTTTAAGAGGTAGCATAATAATCTTTGAATTGAGAAATGAATATTGAGGCTTATAAAACTTTTTCCACTTAATTTTAGTTGCAAGTCCCATTCAAGTTTTAGAAAGTGGGAATAGTAAGAATAGAATACAAGGACCCTGACTTCTTTAATTCATGAGCAGTCTTAACAGCTGTGGGCAGAGGGATTCCAGCAATGTCCCCTTAACTGAGATACGTCTTCGGAGTTATCTTCTCTAGCACTGAGCCCAGTGTTCGCTAATAATTCCTACTGACATTAGCTTTCCTGAAAGAACTAGTCTCTAGGGCAAACAACAGATGTTAGGAAATGTCCAAGCTAGCCTCTCTAGACTTCAGTGTGAGCATATTCTAAGGGTGAGGGATAGGCAGCCCCACTGGGGAGAGGGTTAGTAGAAAGGGAAGATGCCTATAATCTCAACTCCCACACTCCAGTTTTTGCTGTTTTTTGGTAAAGGAGGACAGTCCTTTTTGTTGGGCAAGAAGGGCTGTGCTTTAAGCATTAGACTTGATTTGAAGCTACTGTGGTTTAAGATCTATGAAGATGTTTAAGGCTTTGGATTTGAGGTATTGTGTCAACCTGTGTTATAACATGTACCAACACACTTTGCATAGGCAAGACAAATCTAAATAGAGTAAAGACCTCAGAGCAGGCATGAACTTTTCTATGTGGAGCCAATTTATTGAAGCTAAAATGGTTTAAAACAAAAAAAATCATGGAGGGGCAGGGGGATAAAGATGCTGTTTGATATGTTTGATAGCATGGTAACTTTAATATAGGCAAGTTGGCTCTAGTTAGCCTGCTGATTTTTAAACCGTGGAGAGCCAGAGGTTTGATTTTTGAAGGCCAACATGTCCTAAACTGTATATTTAAAACATTCAGGACTCCACCTTTGTTTTTTCAAGGAGGTTGGAGCCAGATTGTACTCCTGAAGGAGCTCCAAGTCAGTGTTTCTCAGTCAGGGCACTGCTTCACCCGTTAAACAATCTTGTGGCATCCTAGGATACCATTCAGTGTTAAGCACTATTAGGCCTGCAAACAATTGCACATGATTCCCAAGATGGAGCAGGGTGGTACCCTTGAGCAGAGATTCTCAACATTTTTAGATTCTAGGCACCCCTCATCTGCCTCAAGGCACTCCCTCC